ATTCTTCTCCTAAAGGTCTCTGTTACGTAGTCTGGAGTGTGCCTTGTTTAGATTTTTAATCCAGAAAGTATTTTACTTTTTACTGTGCAGTTTAAATGAATGGAAAGTAGAGAATTAGCCTGCCAAAACGGATGCTTAAACATAGCTTCAGACCATGACTTAAAAATACTTTTATATTTAATTTGTGTGCATGCCTGGCTTAATCTTGAAATGCATTCTTTTGTAGCTAACTGGTCTATGTCTGCCTTTCATCGTACTCCAGTGTGAACATTTACATGATGACAGAACCTCTTCACATGAAGAACAAACAACATCAGGTTGTAGGTGGAAGGTAAAGCGGCAGAATCACAGGTGCCAACTTCCTGTTGAAAAGCTCTCAAGTTCAAGGCTGAGTTTCTGAAATACCTAACAAAAATCAGTATTCTGTAAACAAAAATATAGGGTGTATTTTTTTGCCAAGTGTAGAAACAGTACCGAAAGTTTTAACTGCAGCACAAGTGCAGTAAAAGAGGGACTTTGTCCAAAGCTTAACAAAGGTATCTTGACTTTGTTCTTCTCTAATTGTATATATGCTTGGTTATTGATAAAGATGATCAGTATGGCTTATAAATAGAGTTAACTTCTACTTATCTAAACCTATGTGGGCTGCAATGTCTTAGACAATTGAAAAAACTGGGCAATTGGAGTACTAGGGAATTTGGCATGGATATCCATAGTGGGAGTTGGGAGTTCATTCAGCAGTGTTTCTTGCATTCATGAGTGCTTCAGTACTGTTTGATCCATGTTCTCTTTTACCCCAAATGGGGGGAAGGTGAATTGGTTCTGAGAGGTCTGAGACAGCTTGATTTACAGCCCTCTTGCATCTGGGGAGTTCATGGAAATTTGACTGCATGTTAGGCAAGAGTTTTAGTTTAGGTGAAGTTTACAATGTTAACTTTTTTCCACGTGGAGGGAAAAAAGGTCATGTAAGCTTTATGTTGTCTCAGTGGAGGATTTGGGTTAATAACCCTGCCAGACTGGAGCAAACTCCAAATAGCATGTGTAGTCTACAACTGAAACAAATACTTTGTAGGTAAATGAGTTGGTCTCTTCTAAAAACATAGTTCTCAGTATATTGGTATGCAGACTTAGCTGAATACTTGACTTCTAAGAGCTGCTAGATAGAGAACAAACTCGCTTGGAAAGACCACAAGGCTTATAAGGCACTAACTGGAAAGTCAGAATCTCTTGGTTTGGAGTATTTTTTTTCTGGATACTTGCTGATGTGATCAACTATATGTGTAAGTATAAGCTTAACATGAGCCATGTATTCAACAGTATTGGAAGAGACTTGTGTTGTTTCAGCTACTGTAAAGTTGCCTAGTCTAAATTTTTGCTCTATGTTGGAAATTACATGTTGGTTTTGGGTTTTTTTTGTTCCTGCTGAATGACTTTAATTGAAAACAAATTTATGAATGGAGGACATTAGGACTTAGGTTGAGTGATAAGCACAGAGCAGTGAAACTGGTAGGTTTGGCTAAACATCGTGTCAGAGTGATAACAAGAAGTGACTTCCAGAGTGTGCTATGGTCATAGCATCACCGTTTACTCAAACAGAACAGTAGGAGTAGATAAGAGCTTTGTGTCTTCCTGCAAATACTCCATAACACAGGCATTCATTAATGTTATTAATCAGATCCCTCTGCAAATAATTCTGCTTCTAGGAAGATCCATGGAAGGCACAACTGGAGGAGGGGACTTGCTGTTGACGGCTGCAGCTGATAATGTGAGTTACTGCGCTTCATCATTGCCCCAAATATTCTGAGTGTTTCTAGATAGCAGAAATTATCAACATATACTGCTCTTTCTAGAACTTTAAATTTTCACTGTCACGTTTTGTTGTCACATTTTGGTATATTAGAATTTTTCTACCCTAATGGGCAGCTTTTTTTCTAGTAAGAATCACTTAAGATGTTTTTCTTCCACAGATATCATATTCTGATTCGATTGATGAGAAGCCAAATAAATCGCAATACTCCTTTGAGAATGCTTTCTCTATTAGCTATGATGAGAGTCTCTTCAGCTCGTTAGTATCACCCCGTCAAACAAAGACTTGTCATCAGTGTGGTCTCTTTGGTAAGTGCCTTTTGTCCTGTAGTCTGGTGTTTTTCAGTGAAACCACATCAGAAGGTTTGCTCAGAAATGTGTTAAAATGGAGAGATATTTTTATATCTCAGATGCAAGCATAGAGACTGTTCAGAACATGTTTTGAGTTACAGAACTGATGAACAGAAGTGAGCACCTCATCAAGAAAGTTTTGGTTTTCTTCTGGGGTCTTTTTTGTTGTTAGGTTTTTCTTTTCCTTCTTAATTATAGGAGGAGTTTGGGACATCTTGGGCAGTAACCTTAGATAGCTGTATGTGAATACGAATACCTATTTGTATTTTAGAACTGTTGTGGAACTGCCTTGTAAAGCAGTTATTAAATAATACATTGAGTCTGTATCTTAGCAGCTCTTGTCTCTTCTGATACAGCTGTTTCTCTTGTACTCTTTTCTTTTTAAGGATCCCTTAGATGTTCACAATGCAAGCAAATATACTATTGCTCTCTAGATTGTCAGAAAGAAGACTGGCCAATACATCGTGTTGTATGTGAGCCAGTTAAACCAAAGTAAGTTTGTTGAAAAGTTCTGCCAAATGATCTTTACAGAAAGATAATATCCCTCCCATTACAACCTAAATGACCACTTAAAGGCACTATTACAGTGAAATATGTTGCTAGTGCTGTGTTATCTCATGCTTGTCAGAAAACTTTGTTGCTTTAGAAGGGTGATTTGAAAGATGTTGGAGTTCTTAAGGTGTTCTGTAGTGTTACTTGAAGCAAAAGCATTCTTTTTACTTGCTTGTCATGTCTTTGGTGTTGATGGTGCAGGGAAGGGAGGAGAAATGAGACTGTGCTTTTCAGCAGTGGCATAGTTAATGGATTGCATTTAACAGACTCCAAAAAGGCACACTTTGAATCTGTTACCTCAGTGAATTTCATGGATATTTTATCTTTGAGCATAGCTGCAATTAGAACTTGTCCCAACCAGGCCATTCTCTAGCTGCTCATTATTGCTTTCTGACATGCCAGTTTAGATGCTCAAGAGATCACTTCCTAATCTGATTCAGTTAAAATAAGCATCATTAGGTTATGACAAGTACAAATTGACTGGGTGGCTCTAGAACAGTTCAAGGGTGTGATCTTGCCATTCAAGCTGACAGTCTCTAGCAGGGAGTGGTGGTTGCACTTCAATAGGTCTGCACCCAGGAGTCTGTAATCAAAGTTTACAAGAGCTTTATTTCCCCCATGCACAAGTTTTTCTACAGTGACTGAATGGGGAGAAATGGGGACAATCTGGCCTGTGTGGACAATCTGGCCTGCGTGTTACCTGGATATTACTTATGTATTCAGCTGAAATAGCAACTTTTTATTTCAATTTTGCAGTTCTTAAGGTTGGTTTGGGATCACAGTGTAGCAGAACTCCACAATAGTGTAAAATTTCTTTTCCATTTTAATCAGAAGTACTTTATTTTGTTGTTGTTGATGGCATCAGGAAAAACACAACAGATGTTGGATAGCAGGGAACTGACAAATTTGCCATTCTACATTTCCTTGGAGGAGGAATAAGGGTTGATAAAACCCACATACTATAAACACAGCTTTTTGTATATGCAAGTAGGTGTTATGAATGCTACTTGGCTGTTTTTGGTTCTTTAAAGTTAACATCTTTTTTTCGTTGGTTACAGTGTAAGTACTAAAAATGGAGGCAAGTCACCTGGTAAAACCAAGAAGGGAGCTCATCCTAAGGTACAGAACGTGCTTTTTACTATGTCTTGAATGGACCTGCTGCAAGCTAGCTGCAATATGCTTAGTTTAACCTGCGCAGCAAAAAAAACAAGTTCCAAAGAGTATAATCTACTCCTTTTGGAAAGATCAGTGCTTCCAATCAAAAGTTATTGGGAGAAGCATTCAAAACCATGTTAACCATGTTTTGAAGCCTCTCTCAGTTTCAGCCAAACATTAACTGTAGTCTTCCTATGAACTCTTCTGCAGGAATCATTTTATTGTCTTCCTGGTTTCTTGGGCTGGTATTTGTGAAAGCCAGTAAATGTGCATATCTGCAACAAGCCTTACGTTTACACTGTATGAGAAAACTCTGTCATGCGCTGCTTTGAAGTAGCTCATTCATCTGGTTTAACTTTATGGAAGGAATTTAGAAAGGAGGCTTCATTTTGGATCATGAGACTTCTGTTAGTTCATCCTGATAAATTTCTGGGGTGTGTGTGTATTTGTGACTGTCTTATAATAAAATTGTTCAACTGATAGTGAGGGACCTTTATATCAGGAGGGTGTACCACATGCATAAATAACAGAAGGTTTTATTTATCCCTTCTGAAACTCAAGGAAGTTATGTGGAAGCAAGAGACTTTCTATTGCATATTGAACAATATTTAATGTAGTTTTGGTGTTGTGTGGTGAGATGTATTTTTTAATGGAAAGTCTATAAGGATCTTTGTTGCAAGTAAACAATCAATTTGGCAGTTGCAACAGTGATCTTGGTCATCGTCCATTGTCTGCAGTATGTTGGTCCAAATATAAAAGAGGTTTTGCCTAGGGATGTGTATGAGGTTATTTTAGTGATGTTTTTAGGATGTCACAGACAGAGATTGTATGCATTAGGCAGGTGTCTTAGGTTTCCATGACAAGATTTTGGTAGCAGGCGGTTGCAGGGGTGGCTTCTGTGAGAAGGTGCTGGAAGCTTCCCACATGTCCAATGAAGCCAATGCCAGTGAGTTCCAAGATGGACCTTAGTTGGTTCATGGTGCGCCCTGCCACTGGCCAAGGCTGAGCCCATCAGTGATGGTGGCAGCACCTCTGGGATGACATGTTTGAGAAAGGGAAAGTTTACTGTACAGGAGCAATTGCAGCCAGAGAGAGGAGTGAGAATGTGTGAGAGGAACAGCCCTGCAGACCCCAAGGTCAGTGCAGGAGGGGAGGAGGTGATCCAGGCACTGGAGCAGAGGTTCCCCTGCAGCCTGTGTTGCTGCCCAGGGTGAGGCAGGTTGTGCCTCTGCAGCCCAGGGAGGTCCACGGTGGAGCAGATACCCACTTGCAGCCTGTGGAGGACCCCACAGGGGAGCAGGGGGATGCCTGAAGGAGGCTGTGACCCCATGAGAAGCCTGCACTGGAGCAGGCTCTGGCAGGACCTGTGGCCCCATGTAGAGAGGAATCCACACTGGAGGCTTGCTGCAGGACTTGTGATCCTGCAGGGTTCCACACTGGAGAAGCCTGTTCCTGAAGGATGCACCCCATGGAAGGGACCCATGCTGGAGCAGTTCATGAAGAACTGCAGCATGTGGGAATCATGTTAGGGAGCTTTGTGGAGGTCTGTCTCCTATGGGAGAGCTAGGGAAGAGTGCGAGGAGTCCTCCGCTGAGGAGGAAGGAGCAGCAGAGACAATGCGTGATGAACCCACCACAGGAGGTTGTTTAGACATTTTTTTGTTGTTTCTTTTAACATGGGTGCCAGCAATTAAAGCAGTATCTATAATCTGCTGTGTGGTGTTAAGGCTACAAGGAAGCAGGTGGAATTCAATTCCTCTTATTTGTGAGAGCATCATAAGCAGGAGATGTGGCTGAGCTGTCCTGTAAAATGTGTGTTAGAGGAAGAGGTGAATGTGTGAGACTTCAACACTTGTTTTTCATTGTCTCTTCAGTATATCTCCATGATAGTGTTTTAAGTTATTTTGAAGAGTAATACCAAGTCTGTAAGATTGCTTATTGAAAGTCAACAGAAGCACTTTTTTATGTTTCCTGAAATGATCAAAAGTTCTTTTTTGTTACTACAAGGTGCTACAGGTGAACAACTCCAGTTTAAGCATAACTTGTAGCTGTTTTAAATAGGGTGGCTCAGCTTCTGTGAGTTCTCTCAAGAGAGAAGAGTGCTTCAAGAAAATAACACTTTCAGATCTCCAGGCTCTAGGGATCAAAAAAGCTATGGAAGTACAGGTACTTTTACTTTTGAAGAATCCTACAGTGCTTTATTAGGTTGCATTGAAAGCTTTGTTAAGCATATACAGCTGCATGTCATCTCAGCAATCTTGTATCATTTTGCTCACATGTAAAATTCCTTCATTTGTATACAGATGAGTAAATGCAAGCAGGGCTTGGAGGGGTTGTAAGTGAGAAAGACTGTTTCTATGAAGGTGAACATCACTGGGTTTGTTCCCTGCAGTTAATTACTGCTGGATTCAAAACAAAAGAATAAAGGCAGGTATAGGGTGAAATGCATTGATTGAAATGAGCACTGGTCCTGAATTATATACCTAATGTTGTTTTGGCATGATTATAATCTATTATGGCTTTTCTCTTTAGGGTATAGTAACAGAGTTCAAGAGCCCAAGTGAATTTTATATACAGTTGAGTTCTCCAGACATTTTAGACCAGATCACTAAACTTTCTCTGAAACTGCATGACTGTTATGCTAGCACAGTTATTGAAGAGCAATATATTCCCTCCAAAGGGGAAGTCTGCGTTGCAAAGTGTTCTTTGGATCAGGTAACATCTGATTGTCCATGAAATAACCATTCCTGCATAAGCTTGTCATGTTTTGCATGTTTGGCTTTTATATCTCTACCGGTGAAGGCTGCTAATTGGAGATTAGTTTATCGTGGTTGGATTGTGGTAGTAACTAGATTCCTATCATCTGGAACTCACATTTAGGGTATTGATTTTCCCCCAAAAAAGTTTACTTCTGTGCGTTTATGTACTTGAGCCCTGTAGGTGCTGTTTATCCTACTGTTGCTTGAAGGATGTGTGTGTTCTTAGCAAATTTAGTTTACTGTAGTTGCAGCAGTTTGGAGTATGACTCTGCTTAATTAAGGAAGTTATTCTTCATTTCTCACCTAGCTTTTCTGGTTGCATTTCTATAGCCACATGTAGTTCCTGTTTCCCTTCCCACCCTTTATTTTTGCCCCTTTTTCTCCATTGTTAGCAGATTCTTGACTTACTGTCCAGTAGCCAGTGTCTGTAGGAGCTGAATTTTATCTTCACTGCAGTAAACACTACAGTGAGTTGTGTTCATTTAAGTCACTTCAGAATTTGTCAGTGCCTTTGCTGATAAACAAACCTGATGAAGTAAAGCAAACTATGTGATGTTCTTACTAAGATTATGGTTTATTCCTACACAGACCTGGAACAGAGCACTGGTAAAGGATGTGGATATATTGCAAAAGAAATCACAAGTATTCTATATAGATTATGGAAATGAAGAAGACATTCCACTTGCCTGGATTAAAGCTTTGCAGAAAGACACTGAACTGTTGGTTCCTCCATGTGTAAGTTCTCTTTTCCTAACACTAGCTCAGGTATTTTAAATGAATAGCTCTAATGTGAGTGTAACTCATGTCTCAGTGTGTCACTGTAATATTTTGTGTTCAGTGAAAGTGATACATGAAAACTGCTATGCTACATGAAGTTCACCTTCTGAAATGTTTCCTCCTATTCCACAGGAGTGAGGAAGGCTGTTTAGCTTTTTTTTTTTTTCTTCCTAGTCCCACAATTCAAGGGGTCATGGGTTCAAACTTAAACAGGGGAAGTTTAGGTTAGATGTAAGGAAGAATTTCTTTACTGTGAGGGTGGTGAGGCACTGGAATGGGAATGGGTTGTCCAAGGAAGTTGTGAATGCTCCATCCCTGGCAGTGTTCAAGGTCAGGTAGGATAGAGTCCTGGGTGACATGGTTTAGTGTGAGGTGACCCTGCCCATGGCAGGGAGTTGGAACTAGATGATCTGAAGGTCCTTTCCAACCCAAACCATTCTATGATTCTTGGGTTTTGAGCTGGTAAAAAAATCTTCCAGGGCACTTAGGTCCACATATCCCTTGTATGCTAGAGGACAGCAGAGGAAACATTCTGAGACCTCACTTGGAGTATTGTGTACAGTTCTGGTGTCCTCAACGTAAAAAGGACATGAATCTGCTGGAGCAAGTCCAGAGGAGGGCCACAAGGATGATAAGGGGGCTGGAGCACATCCCTTATGAAGACAGGCTGAGAAAGTTGGGGCTGTTCAGCCTGGAGAAGACAAGACTGTGTGGAGACCTCAGAGCAGCCTTCCAGTATCTGAAGGCGGCCTACAAGGATGCTCTGGAGGGACTATTCATCAGGGACTGTAGTGGTAGGACATGGGATAATGGGTTCAAACTTAAACAGGGGAAGTTCAGGTTAGATATAAGGAAGAAGTTCTTTACAGTGAGGGTGGTGAGGCACTGGAACAGGTTGCCCAAAGAAGTGGTAAGTGCTCCATCCCTGGCAGTGTTCAAGGCCAGGTTGGACAAAAACTTGGGTGACATGGTCTAGTGTGAGGTGTCCCTGCCCATGGCAGGGGGTTGGAACTTGATGATCTTAAGGTCCTTCCCAACCAAACCATTCTATGATTCTATGCCTGCATGTTCTAATCTGGGCTTGTGCAGTAGGGAAAAATGTTTTCTAGCTTGGGCAGACTTAGTTTGGAGTAAGGACAGCTGTTGGTCTGAGTTCATTGCCATACTACGTGAATGTTCTCCATTACGAAATAGATTTAATCTGCAAATTAAATGGGTGTGTTTAGCTGTGCATGAAGAAGGATAGAGAGGCATTCTTTCAAGCAGTGACAACTGTGACTACCTGCTGTTGAAGTAGTCGTTAATAACTTGTTCACATGACTTTCTGCTGGGTCCATAATAAATTTTGAGAGCTGTTTGAATCTTTGCTTAAAGCCCTCAGTGTCTGCTGAGGGCAAATTAGGACATGCACCTGTGGTCATATGTGATACAACCATGCCTTACATAAGACAGCATAAATAGTGGGAGAATGTAGCTTTCAGTTTGAGCTTACCTTTGCCATTACTCTGCTGTAAAGAACTTAGTTGAATTGATAATGCTTCAAATTCTAACAGCAGCTTTAACTTTTATGTGCAACGTGGTATTTCTAAGAGCCCTAATTATTTAGTTGCTTTTCCTACAGAGCAAACAATCCCCATCCCCTCTTGTTCTAATTGCAATTCTTTCCAGGCCATTAGGTGTTCCTTTGCTAAATATGATCCAAAAGAAAAAGGATGGAATGAAGATGCTGCCAGATTTTCTTCTCAGCTCATAGGAAAACACTGTTCAGTAACTGTTGTTGACATATTACAGGAGGAAATGATGTTGAGTTTTGCTGTAGAAGTTGTTATTCCAGGTTCTGGTAAGTACTTGGTAGTATAGTGGTGGGGGGAGGTGGTAGGGGAAGAGCCCCAAACAAATGACAAGTCTTCTGTGTTCACTTTCCCTCCCCCTGCCCAGTACCTTTTAAAAGAGGAGTTTTTTCTTCTGCTTTGTTCCTTTATTCTTTTGGTTTAATAGATGCAGAATTGGGATCATGTTGTTCCTTTTATCCCATGCATTTTTAACTCTTTAAAAAGTTGTAGAATCAGTTTCTAGTTCCACTGAGGATTTCACCAGCTTTTGTTCTGTTTTGTACATGCTCACTAATGGCAAAGCAGTATAACTTGCCAACCTCTTGGAGAGAAGATCACAAAAATACCTCTGCATTTATGAATGTGGTTTTTCATGGAATGTTTCACATGACTATTCCATGACTTTACAAGCAACTTAAACACCTGTATTCAGGCTTTCAGTTGGAAATGATTGTACAGAAGGCTTGGAATATTGTTTCATGCATCAGAAACGGAATATGGAATAGCTAAGAAACTCAACATTTCTTTGTAAACCTCAGTAACTCATTGCATGCTGAGTGTTGTAAATACGGAGGTAAGTTATGAATCCTTGTGTCTGAAAAGCTTTCAGCTAAGTCTGCCATGACTGTGAGTACATACTGTTTGTTAATGTCTACCTCATTTCATGTAGTCAGTCTTGGAGCTGTGAATGTCTTCAGAAAACTCAAGTAGTTGGCTTACTCTGAAATTACTTTCATTTTGCATTCTAAGCATATTAAGTGCTCAACAAATACGTAGAGCATACTCACTTTGTGATAGGGATATAGGTCAGGCTCAGAAGACGATTCTGAAATTAAACTACATTATGACTGCCTTGCATGGTAAATAACTTGTTTCTTACATCTGTATTTTGCGAGACTACCTAGGTAAAGTACCTTTAGAAATGAGGTCTGATAAAACTCCAGGAACTGATGCCAAAGGAGGAGACTCCCCAGGAGGTAAGCAAGCAAATCAAACTTCTTAGTAAGAGATGGAACAAAGAACTTGGGGAATTTTAGGTCCTTCTGTGTAGCATAATACTCTGAGTGTAGTGAATATTCTACCTGTTCACCAATGTTGCCTCCTACTTAAAAGCACTGGCTAGTGGAGCTTCCTTCAGTTCACTAGTGACAGTAGCAGATATGCTATTTAATAGTATAAAACACTTGTTTAGTGATGATCATAGAATCATAGAATAGTTTGGGTTGGAAAAGACCCATTAGGTTCCAACCCCCTTGCCATGGGCAGGGACACCTCGCACTAGACCATGTCACCCAAGTCTTTGTCCAGCCTGGCCTTGAACACTGCCAGGGATGGAGCATTCACAACTTCCTTGGGCAACCTGTTCCAGTGCGTCACCACCCTCACTGTAAAGAACTTCTTCCTTATATCTAACCTGAACTTCCCCTGTTTAAGTTTGAACCCATTACCCCTTGTCCTACCACTACAGTCCCTGATGAATAGTCCCTCCAGAGCATCCTTGTAGGCTGCCTTCAGATACTGGAAGGCTGCTCTGAGGTCTCCACGCAGCTTCTCTACTCCAAGCTGAACATGTGAGCATTATTAGCTCATACTTCAATAGCTAATTCAATTTCATGGCTAATATGACAAGAGCCTTCAAAGTCCAAAGAGTCAGGAAGAATAACCTGCTTGAGCATGTTTAAATTCTCAGTCATCCAGCTTTTGATCACCAACTTCTTTTTTTCACCCTTTGGGTTTTTCTGTACAGTGTCAGAAAACAATTCCAAGAGAAGTAAAGCAAAAATACCTCAAGATGAAGACTATCTTCACTGTGCTCATTCAGCTGTAGAGGATGTGTCTGTGTGTATTGGAGATGTGTTTTCTGCTATGGTTTCTGGCATGCAAAGTCCAGAAGACTTTTTCTGTCAGCCAGTACGCAACTGCCGTAAGTGCCAGTGGGATGCAAGATACCTACTGTGCTATTTTGGTTTTTCCAGAGTGGCTGGAGGGAGGTGTTGCTGTTCTTGTGGTTTGCCCTGAAATGGTGATTCCCTGTAGCTTTAGGCCATGCCTCAGTCAGTTAAGAGCCGCGGTGTTGTGTAGGATAGTCTCGGGCAGCATTAGCCTGTGAGGTGTTAGTATGTGGGCAGTGAGTAGTGCAAAATAAAGAGATGGTGTGGTGTGGATTTCAGTAATCCAAAGTCAATTTGTATCACAAATATTTAATGTTGAATATATTGTCTCACATGTCTCAGAAATGTGTGTTTCTAATTACTTTGTTTATTCCCATAATACCTTGTTGCTTTATCACTGGAGGGAAGTGTTTCCTTATAGGCTGGCTGCATGGCCTGAACTTTGTTATGTAGCACTGGGAGAGTATCCAAGTATGAGAAGGCCAGATTAGAATGCCCAAACCCACTTTGGTGCCCTCTGATACAGTAAGATATAAGACTGAGTAACACAATAGTGGGCCAGAGTGCTAGGCTACAGGGACTGCTGGTGCATCTCCCACAGTGCCCATAACCAGATGTCGGGGGGAGAACAAGAACAGAGTAAGTTTGAGGGATGTGACCTGCTAGTGCTGTCCAAGTCAGTGTTTGTGTGTTTTCAGCTAAAAGGGCTTTTGCAGCTGGATGTGATCTGGTGCCTACATTGGATTTCTCTTCTGTGTACTTGGGCAGCCTTTGAATTTTGGGTAGACTCAATGCATATCATGTCCTTTGGCAAGAAATGACCTCATCATCTGCCTGTTGTCTGAAGAGCCATCTCTTTGGTTTCTTTCTAGCACACCTCCAGTTTCCACTTTCGATTCCTACTGTCTTCTGTCTTGTTCCTGTATTGGAAAAGTCTGTGACTGGTTTCCCCTGTCCATTTATTCAGCACTGTGATTCCTCAGGCTCACATGAAAAAATCTCCATTATGTTACAAGATGTTCTTCCAGGCTTTGATCTTAAGATTTGTGTACTTCTGTAGTAGGTACAACACGTGTATGTTCCAAACCCCTCTATATTTTAACATTAGGTCAACTTGCTGAGCTTCAAGTGTCTCTTAATGAACATTGTGACAAACTTCCCAGTAGTCCAGCTTTCCGTCCTGCTGTTGGGAATGTGTGCTGCGCCCAGTTCACAGGTAAAAATGAAGTGAAAACGTGGCTCTTATGACACCTTATTAAAAAAGAAAATGATTATAATTATGTTTAGAAATCTTTCATATAGAGAGTTTATTTTACTGTCTGGTTTTACCTGTGGATGGCATTTGGTAGTAATGTAAAGAAATTATTAATAGCAAATGATGACATTTAGAAAATGCTAGTCTAAAATATTTTAGACCATAAATTGGTCCCTTCATTGTGCAAACTCTTTACACCAGATTAATTTTTGTATATAGGAGCCTTCTAGGAGACCATGAAAGAAATTTGGGGGTTTTGTGTTGGTGAGTGCTATTTCCTGTGGCTGGAAATAAATATAGGCCCCCAAAGAGGGACAGAAGAAGTGGGATCATTATATCTAATGATGGTGCTCTGATAAATGACTTCTCAAAATGTTATTTAGCCAAGACCTGATAATCCTGAGTTGTATGTTTATAAATTAGGTTCCATCTGACAGTAATCACTGATGTCAGGTTTCTACAAGTCTCATGATAAAACTGAGCCTTGCCTAAACATAGGCAAATCCTCTGCATAAAGCAGTGTTTTGTGCTAGGAACTGGTAAGTCTATATGAAAGACATACCTTTTATTGATTGGAATCTGAAGTCCTGTTTGCCTCAGGGCAGTAAAATGAAGATGAATCTCTCTTCCTCATAGATCATTGTCCTGCTCATCAGCTTTTAACAAGAAGAAAACCCGCTCTTACACCTTTTTTTCTGCTCAGAAATATTGCTGCTGTTACTTTGTGATTGATAAATGTTCCTGGTCATTTATTTCTTTCAATTTCCTGTAGCTTTGCTGCTTTGAACAAATCAGCTGTGGAACTGAACAGATAAACTGAAATAAATGCTTTTTCTATATGTTCTGAGAAACGATAAGCTGTCTTGGCATTTGAACGGGCACTGGTTTCAGGTGCCTAGCTAGGGAAAGCTGTGAGCTCAGTACCTCAGATATCATGATAAACATCACTAAGCTTCTACTTCTATTTCTCAAATATTTCAGTTGAATTCAAATACTGAAATTATTAGATCTGTGGTTTTGCTTTTGAATTGCATGTCATTGTGGTAAGACACTGTTTGTGTAAATGCATTAACTTGAGCTACATACACATAATGTAGCCAGTTCTTTGTTGCAATATGTATTTGCAAAGGGGAGGATGTCTTTATGGAAGGATGAGTTTGCCACACAAGTTGTGCAAGGGGTGATGGATGTTGCATCATCCATTCACCTTTTGTGAAGGTCTGTATGAACTGTAATGCTGCTGTTTTATGTAGAGATTGATGGTGTATTTTTTATATTGGTCTACCCAAAGAATCATTCTGTTCTCAGAAGTTAAACTACAATAAACATTTACATCTTCCTTTCCAGAAGACAACCACTGGTATCGTGCTGCTGTTGTAGCATATGTCTCTGAAGAGGCTGTTATGGCAGAGTACATAGATTATGGTAATTCTGAAGTTCTTCCACTGACTAGGCTTCGTCCTGTGATTCCAAGATTAATGGACCTGCCAGCTCAAGCCATAAGGTGTACCTTGGCAGGTATGAAATAAATTAGCTGTTTCAAACAGGGTAAAGGCAAAATAAGTGGGGTTTCATAATGATCACATCTGTAGTATCTTCTGTTGAAATATCGGAAAGGATGGAGATAACAGAAGGTGTTACTTCCTGAATTCTTAATTGTGGCACATTCATAAAATGGGATAAATTGTTCCTAATGTACCTGATGATCTGTAGTTGTATGATTGGAAAACTGTGTTACATTAACCTACCTGTTAGGTTTTGCATCTGCCTTTATTCCAAGCAAAATTCAGTCACCTACTGGATTGTGGAATTCTTTAATCTGTGTGCTTCTAACACTGCAGGGGAAGTTACAATTCCATTTTATATCTTGCAGTTCAGAACTATCTTTGTTGTGTGTTGTCTGTCCTGTCCCTCCTGGCTCTAGGGCAAATCTAGTGAAACTACCAGTAGAATCCTCTCTTTATGCTTGTGAAATCTGTCAAGGTATAGAAGGGATGTTGACACTTTCTAGTTCATCCTTCTGTCTCAAGCCAGGATCATAATCTGGTTTTTGACATACTTGTTTAACCTGCTGTTGGAAATTGTTTGTTTTCTGTTTGTTCCCATCACTCTGCAAGATAATCTACCCCTTTACTTTAGTGCCCTTCCTTTAGAATACTCAATGTCTATCCTTCTTTTACAATACATGATACTTAATCTGCTTTTCATTTGTTTTGTAAAGTCAAGAAGCTAGAATATGCTGCTCAGACTTCAGAAGGTAAACATGAAACAATGGTTCTCTTGTATGTAGAGATATAACCAATGCATATAGAATGTGACCTAAAGAAATCTCTTTTCTGGGGCAAACCATGATGCCTATAGATAATAGGTGTTCTAAGATGAAGAAAGGTCCTAAATACAACATGGACACAAAAAACTGATCAGACAAGATACTGTCTGATTAGACTCAAGGTTTACTGCTGCATAAAATATCTTTCTGGAAGGCAACTTCTGCCCATCTATTACTATAAAGTTCTGGTTATAACTTGCATCTTAGCAGTAAATTTAGTAGCACAAAAAGTAAATGTTTAAAGAGGAAGTAGCTTAGAGGAACAGATACATTGGCTGAGAGATGGGTAATGTTCTTCAAAACTATACGTTGCAAGTCTTTGGGTCTCATGACTACACTTTTTAGATGTTCATACTAAGGAAGTATTAAACCTGAATTTATCCTTTTCTTTGTGTAATAGACTAGTTGTGCATGGTCTTTGTCTTATTAAACCCAAGTGCCCTAAAGTTCAGAATCTAAATAACTGGGTTTGGAATCTTGTTACAAGCATGAGGAGCGAGGGTAGGTCACTTCGTACATCAGCTGGTTAGTCTTTTGTTTTAAACTGGTTTTATATGTTCTTTATTTTTAAATCAAGTAGACTACATTAGAAAGAGAGTAATTCTGTAGAATATGCTCTTGACCTGTTGAGACTTGGACTGTCCTCAGAACCTTTCCATACTATGTCACCTTTTAGGTGTAAAGCGACCATTAGGAGAGTGGACCTCAGAAGATATTTGTTTTATGAAACAACTGGTGGAAGACAAAGTGTTCACAGTAAAAGTAGTGGGTAAACACAGTTGCAGATCTGTGGTGGAGCTTGTAGATGCATCAGTTACTCCAGCAATAAATGTATCAAGCCATCTTATAGAGAGAGGCTGTAGAGCTGAGGAACCAAGGATGGCCTTGCCAGCAATTGGAATGAATGATGTTAAGCAAGCAAATGGTGAGTATGAGCATGTACTGCTGAATTGGTGTTACTTAACGTCCTTGCTAGAGTGGGTACAAAATGCAAGTTCTTAACTGGTAAGAACTTTTCCAGCCTGGCTCATGAAGTCTTCTGCCACAGCTCTGAAGATAAGCTGTGGCAACTTTGCCATGAAGTGTGTGTTTGTGTGTCTGTAATGATGTTAAGCAAGCAAATGGTGAGTATGAGCATGTACTTCTGAATTGGTGTTACTTAACATCCTTGCTAGAGTGGGTACAAAGAATGCAAGTTCTTAACTGGTAAGAACTTTTCCAGCCTGGCTCATGAAGTCTTCTGCCACAGCTCTGAAGATAGGCTGTAGCAACTTTGCCATGAAGTGTGTGTTTGTGTGTCTGTATGAGTACATTTATATGCGTGCAGAACATAACAAAGGTGCAGTTGCTTTTGGAAAACCATACTAGTATTTCGCTTTGATTAGAAGTCTTACAATTTCCAGTTGAAGAAGGATATGACTAGTTAGTCATGTTCTTATGCCTTTGTCCTTTAGCTCAAATAGTATTTCATCTTCATTGTCCTTTATTTTATATATAAACCCATATATTTAGTCCTTCAAAATTTGTTTGACTGCAGTAGCCTATACAGTTTCAATTTGAGAGACTTACAAATTTTAGGTCATATTTCTTTGCATCATGGGAACATTCCTAGGTTCTCTCATATGAAGCATGTTAAGCTCCTCTTTTCCATCCTGTGTCTGGTAAAACTAGCTCTGTATTTTCTCCTGATCCTTCTATACTAAAACCTGGGGGAAGTCTTTTTGTTAAGCCTAATCTTGTTAATTTTCATTTTTCATGTCAATCTGTCTTCTTTCTGGAGTGGAAAATTCAACCAGCTTTTCCTTTGAGCATATTTCTCCAACTGTGCTGACTGTGCTTTGTCCTTTCTGATAGAGATCTGGCAGTTGCTTACAATTTGAAGGAAAGTCTTGCATTCCACTGAAAATACAGAAGATTTGAGAGCCTGTTTGGGGCTCTGTGTGTACTTTTTTTGTAGCATGGTTTTCTTGCTTTGGGTTTGTTTCTCTTTTTATCTTTACCTGTTGGCAGTATGACTTTCTTAAGTAATCTACAGTCAGACCCAATACTGGGCAGGTGGAGCAGCATCTCAGCATGTCCGTCCTTGAAGCTCAACTTTCTTAAGCTTCATTATAGGAATAAAAAACCCTAAACACTTAAAACTGGAAATGTTACCAAAGCTGGATGCCAGCCACTTGGACTCAAGTCTTAAAAAGCCTGTCAGTTATTTCTGCATGCTGCTGCTTACCACAAACTGTAACAAACTTGACAGTTATGGAACATACAAGAGGATTTAATAATATGCTTAATGAAAGAAATTATGGCTTCTCCAATGTACCATCAATTAGTTTTCATGTGATCTTTTCTACAACTTGTGTTAAATAATCTTTTTTCAGATACTTAAGTATCATACGCGGTGTAAGTTTCTGCAACCGGTCTTTAATCATTTTGTTGTTGTTCTTTTCCTTAGACTATTTCCATACACTGTGACAGCTCTTTCCCAGTTACCCAGGAACCAAGGATCCCTGGAGTCCCTCTTGCTCTCAGGGTACTGCCACGTAGCTTGTACCTCTGTGATTACTCTTCCCTGTTCATCTATGGCTTGCCCTTCTCAGTAGTGATTGAGTACATTAAGAACCAGCACATTTCTCTTAATTGACTTTATGCTGCAAAGAGGCTCTCCCTGGTAATGAATCTCTTGGTTTATTTATAACAAGAAATTGAAGGTATGAATGAGCATTCAGGATGTATTATTTTTTTCCTGTAAAAATTATTTTCTCTTCCTTCCTTTTCATCTCTGTCCCCTCTAGAGGACACAACAAACAAAAGCATTTGCAAGTGGAATAAATTAACTCTGGAACAAACAGTAGACGTTATAGTGTGCACGCTGTACAGTCCTGGAGAATTCTACTGTCATATTTCAAATAACAGTGGTAAGTTTATTCAGCTCTTTTCTTTCTCCTAGTTTCTTTGCTTCCTCATTGTCATTTATTGCAGTTCTAATGCATTACTGTTTCAAGTGAGCTTATAGCACCAAAACGTACCTCTGAGGTTTTTACCTAAGAATACAAGTGGAATATTGAAGAAGTTGGATCATGGTATGCAGTGATTGAGACTGAAATCTGAAAATATTGAAGGAAAGCAGTTGAATGAAACTTAATCAAATAATGTAGAGAAAAGTGAAAAGAGCTACTATATGATTCTGTGATTCTGTAACCAAGGCAAAGGAGAGATAAAACAGAAGAGAGCAAATAAGAGACGTATTTCCTGTGTCCATACAATATTTATTAGCACTCTCATTTAGTACTGTGTCCTATTCTAATTTATTAAAACTTAAAGATTCAAAAGAAATAACATGAAAATAAGAAAATGCAGCTTTTGAGGCTTGACTTACCCTTGGGTAAGCTAAAAACACCACCTCAAATAATCTTGTTCCGCTATCCTGTATGAAGACTTCTGGTAGCCAGTGGTGTTTTAAGCTACTAAAAGACCTGCATGATGAATTCGGTGGCTGAAAGTGGAAGATAAATGCCTTCAAACCAAAAATAAGGCAGATCTTAAAGTGGGGAAAGTTTGTTCTGTCTAGGGATAGTATAGATTCATGGCTTCTTGCCTTTAAAACACGACTGAATTTCTCTCCAGAAGTGATGTTATAGAGCAGGCTAAAAGACTTGTTATAAAAAATACAGAAGCAAGTAGGATGAGATCCCATAATCTGTCATATGCATTGGCTGAACTAGATAATTCCAGTGGTTGTAAGATATAATTTAGATATTGGAGGGAAGGGTGCTTGCTGGATTAGCAGGGAGAATTACTGATAATTTAGTTATTATACTGAAGTAATTTGTCACAGAGAAATCAGCTATCTCTCCTGTTCCTGCTACTAAGTCTATCTGGTAAGTGAAATGTCTCAGTGTCAACAGTTCTTTCTTCATGAAGTTCTAAACTTCACAGAAATCTCCCATCAGACCTTTAAGAAAGCTGCACAACAAACACCATTGATCAAGTTCAGATCAGGTTATTTTGCTGATCTCATCTTTGGTTTTCTTACTTTCAGAATTACATGCTCTCAACTTACTTAACAAATCATTGTCTGAATACTGCCAGAAAACTCCACCAAATGTTTTTAAGCCTGAGAATGGAGAACCTTGCTGTGCCTTCTTCTCTGGTATGTTATAGACTAGGACATCTTTGTTTTTATAGGATGGACATAAAGCAAAAAAAAAGTAGTTTTAATATCTTGCAAGGATGTTGGAGAGATACTCTTCGTTACTGCAGTAATAGGACAAGGGATAATGGGTTTAAATTGAAACAGGGGAAGTTCAGGTTAGATATAAGGAAAAAGTTCTTCGCTGTGAGGGTGGCGAAGCACTGGAACAGGTTGCCTAAAGAAGTGGTAAATGCTCCATCCCTGGCAGTGTTCAAGGCCAGCTTGGACAGAGCCTTGGGCAACATGGTCTAGTGTGAGGTGTCCCTGCCCATGGCAGGGGGTTGGAACTAGATGATCTTAAGGTCCTTTCCAACCCAAACCATTCTATGGTTCTGTGAATTGGCAGAGTATAGCAAAGAATTGGATTTACTGATTAAAAGCTAGATGCTGGTAAACCTACTAAATGTATGAAGTAACTTTTTCTTTTAATTAGGTGATGGTTACTGGTACCGTGCCTTGGTGCAAAACGTTAGTTCAAGTGGGACTGTTAAAGTGTGCTTCGTGGACTATGGTAATGTGGAGGAAGTACCACTGGATAAAATACGTCAGATCTCATCCTCGTTCCTAAAACTGCCATTTCAAGGAATTAAATGCTGGCTGTCAGGTGGATTTTCATATGGATTCGTTATCTTCTAAGAGCTATTGCAATTAGAGACTTGCTGCTCTGTGGGGAGGAGGTGGTGACAGGGTCTTTACTTCACAGAACTCTTTGTTTTTTGGGGAGTGTGGGTTTTGTTCGTTTTGGTTTTATAATAGCTGTCTCTGTTGCTTCCAGTCTCTGGAAATTGTGGGAACTGTTGTTTTAGCCTTACTGCACAGCAGACTGGCATTTAATAGAAAGATGGTGGCTCTTCCCTGAGCTCCTAACAGTGCTGTAGAACGATCTGCATGGAGGTTACTTACAGTGAAAGGGAATTTGTCGCTTAGTTCTGTTTCATTTGTAGTGCTTACTAACTTTTTGGTTGCTCCCTTGCTAGGAGTAAACGTGCTTTTGTGCACAGAACTTAATTATTTCTCACTTTTTGCAGGCAAGGGAGCTCATCTGTTTTTATGAAGCAAGTTGGCTTTTCAGTTCTCTGCAGAGATGTTTCATTTGATTCCTGCAGAGTTTGGCACCATACTGCTGTTTCTTAGTCTTCTACTGATTCTCTGGCTCTTCCTTTTCTGCCCCAAATCACTCAAAATTCTACAGAAATGTTCTTTTTTTCTGAATGTAGTCTACTCGATTTAAAACTAAAAATAATGCAGAAACAGGAAAAAGCTTAAAACCACATTTTGTCAAAGCGTTTTTTGCTGGTTTGGAGTTTTTGTCTCTTAAAGCACTTGTTTTTTCTGCTGTTTTGAGAAAAAGCCTATATTAAAGTGGTTATAAAGGCTATATAAGCAGGCTTAACAGTACTGTTTGTGCTAAGGCACAAGGATTTACTTGGTAAAATACCATAAAATGTAGAAAACTAAACTTGAGAGGTAATGTGTCCTTCTAGTAGGAAGGAGGGAGACCAGTTAACAGGGTGAAGTACAATGTGTGTTTCTGATGTAGTAAAAGTAGCCTTGGAATCTTGGAATTTCTAATTATGTTTTAAAAAAGGGAGGGGAGAGGCAGGAAATGGAAAATAAAATATTGAAGAAATCACTTAATGGAGGTACTTTGAACAGTTTTTCTATTTCCTAGGTATAAAGCCTGGTAGCAGCAAATGGATTCCAGAAGCTACAGCAAGATTTCATACGTATGCTGTAGGGATAAAGCTTCAAGCCAGAGTAACTTCCCTTTCCAGAGATGGAGCAGGTGTAGAGCTTATTGACAATTCCACAGGTCATCCTAAAGTGATCAATGAGTTACTAACTTCTGAAAAACTGGCTGTAAAGGAGGTTCTACGAGAGAAAAATAAGCTTCCAAACAAACCTGTTGACAAGAAAGGTAACTAAATGAATGTTAACTTTTAGATTACGCAAGAATTTTCAGCATTCCAGTCTTTAACCATGATCTTGGTATTCAGCTGTAGTCAGTATCAGTAATATACATATGCATAGTTTTGATTATATTGTCAGTTTTTACAGTTGGACACAAGCTGCCCTGCAGGTGGCATTATAGACAAAAAGAGAAAGAGAAAAATGACCGGGTTTGTCCTAAATGAGTACTATTTGAATATTTGATAGTAGAGATGTACAGATCTGCTACAACAAACTTTCCCCATGTTTACTTTCCAATATCATGTTTTTCTGAGGTGTTCTTTACTTTAGCTACTTTTGTATGCTATTAGTTTATGAACAGCAAATGAAGCAAGAGTTATCCTGGTTTAGATTTCTTGAAGACATGCAGATGTCTCTAAAGTTCAAAAAGATACTCTGTAACAGTTACTTATATGCCTGTGCTTGGAGGGAAGTGATACACTGCATTTTCTCACTGTTTCTGTTAGAAACCTCACTTGGGCACTGGAAGGCAATCAGATTGGCTATAGATGAAACCATGTCTGTGTATGTAACAGAAGTTGTAAGCCCAGGCTTGTTCTACGCTGTACCAGTTAAAACTAAAGGTAAGAAAAAGTGATGGCTGTTCCTAATATCAGTAATAAGTCCCTGTTGCAAGTCTGTAGTGAACTGAACCTTGTGGAAGCATAGCATGGGTAGTAGAAACATATAAAGCAAATGCCAAAGGTGGGAGCAGGGGAGCTTAAAAGTAAGTATTCTCTTCATTATACTCATGTGATTACACAACATTATACTATGTGGTTAGTTATTCAATTGTTTGGGGTTTTTTTTCTGTAGATCAACTACATAGGCAGTTGATTGAACTACAAGACTATTGTAAGTCTTGTATTAAGGAGTCCTTCAAACCAAAACCAGGTGAAGCCTGTTGTGCCAGGTTTTCAGGTGAGGCAATCATCTGTTCTTATTTCCTTGGCTAGTGTTAAACACAACTTTCACCTTTGCTTCAGAAAAAGTGCCAACTTGAAAGGGCTTACAGATCTCTTAATTCTGTGCCAAAGGATACCCTGGCTGGACAAAGAGACCATCTGACAGCCTAGGAGAGAAAATAAGGAATAGGTTGTGCCCTCCAAATGCATGGAGCTTTAAGAGGAAAGCAAGCTAGTTACTGTTTAAACTGAGATTTGTGTTTGAGTCTCAGGGCCATGAAATTCATGGCAGAGCAGTAGTGCACTTGCATCTGTACAGACCCACTTCTGGTTTGTGGGTGCCTGGGTGTTTTGTTGATGCTTTCTGCAAGCGTGGGGCAGTGACATTGGCTGTGACAACTGGTCATTCAGCCTTGTTAGTGTAACAGGCTGTCCAGGGTTAGCAAACTGTTAGTTCAAGTCAGAAGTATTCTTAAGTGAGAGAACTTTATTTATTGTCTTAGTCTTTCAGAAGAGGGGATGCTCTGCTGGATTATTAGCTCAATATTCTAAAACAGGAACGTTGGCTTGTAACTATTAAAAGGTGACTACATGTGGGTTGTTACAGGAGATGTGGCTAAGTGCTGAAAATGAGCTTGGGTGTTAGGTCAGCTCCTGGAAAACAGGATAGGTGAATTAAAGAGATACTGGACAGACCACAAGTGCATACCTAAGTGCTTGACAGTTGGGTTTAACTTCCACTGATTTTTTATATTATATTTTGTTTATGATTCTTCAGGACAACTGAGGAAAAAGATTTGGGCTGTTCTTTCTTTTTGGTTATGTTTTGAGAGGGAATATGTGTTGGAAAAGTAAGAAGCTAGTAACACAGTGTGCAGACATCCTTAAAGTATTGCAGTAAAAATCTTGCCTATAATTTGAGCAAAATTCTGAAATTCATCTTTATGAATACAGCAATCAGAAACTTGTTCTGTGGGCTTACTACTTGTCAGTGGCCTTTTGTATGTACCAGAGTATTTAAAAATGCCTGGAAACCTATATAGATTCCTGTTCTCAGGATGAGCTGTGTTTTATAAGGTGGTGCTTCACATGTAGTGGTTTTGTCTTAATCTTCTCAGGTGATGGCCGTTGGTACAGAGCTCTTGTTCTGAAAGCTTTTCAGTCTGTAGTGGAAGTCCTATATGCAGACTATGGGAACAAAGAAACTTTACCACTTTCAGAGGTGCTGCCAATCACTGATTCCTACTTAAAGCTGCCTTTTCAGGCAATTACATGTTCACTTGCAGGTAACAAACAAAAAACACCCCCCAAAAAACTGACTGGTTTCCTTGAATGTTATAAATCTGTACCTATTCTGATGATCAAGTTCATTCCTTAATTCTGATAAGCAATACGGTGATCTGCTGAAATAGGGGTAGTGCTGCAAAAACTGTTTTAGAAAGTATGCTTTTAGTTAATTTCCTGTAGACGTAAGCTACTTATGTTAGGAAAATTTAGTAGCATCATTTTTTCCAAACCAGTGATAGCATTATGTGCAAGATTCAAGTCACATTGTAAAGGAATTCTGTATGGAACAAATTTGATTGTTTTGGGGTTGTTTTTTGCAGGCATAGAGAAAGCTGAATGGTCTCCATTACTACCTGTCCAGTTGAAAGAAATGTTATTGAATAAAGACATCACAATTACAGTGAAAGGGATTAATGGAAATGTTAATTTAGTAACAGTGGAGAAACTTTGGGAACATGGGAGTCTGAATGTAGCTGACAAACTGGTAATGGAAGGTTTGGTCAAATCCAGCAGTGCTGAAAGCTCACGTACTGAACGTCAAGGTGCGCACTTCCACTTAATTACTTCACATTACTTAATTTGAGGACCCGTGGGCACATGGGATGCCTGAGTGACTTTTCCTTCTAAAAACCTTAGAGAATTCCACATGTCGCCCCTTTAAATTAGGGAGGCAATGTCCATGGATGTATTGCTCATTCACTTGCTTTGTGTTTTGTTTTTTCTTTTTGTAGGCAACGGATGTGAGACCAAATGCTGCTGCACGGAATTAAAAATACAAGTAAGATTCAGTCCAAGCAATACTCCTCTACATTTCCAGAATTTAGAAGAAACCCCATGTGGGACACAGATGGGAGTAGGGAGATAATCACTAACATTGATGTGCAAAGTGAACATCCCAACACTTGTTCTCAATTTGTCTTACAAGCGGTAATAATTACAGCACCCTGAAACTGCAGGAGGATAGTGCATAGATCACACTCACTTCATTAGTCTGTTTTGCCACATGCACAGCTCTCTTTTTCTTTTCCTAGAGTATAAAGGCCTCAGGAGTGTTACTTTTGTCTGCTGTGTAAAGGTAGTTGTGGTGTTTATGCAAAACTGTGTCACTTGCACAAAGGGCAGCTGGATTTTTTCCAGTAATATGGTAGTGTTTTGCTGGGGATGCAGCTTGGCAGACAGCTGCACTTGTAAGAAAAGTCTTAAAATGCATATTTCAGGTAGCAGAGATTAATACTAATATGTGCCACAGTTCCACAGCTAGTCATGGAGCTAGGGCTGAGAATCTCAGTTCAGTAGAATACTGGAATTTGTAAGAGTGTTTGCCAGTTGCAAGATTGGTTTTTTTCCTTTAAGAAAAAATGAAATGTCTCTTCACACTTCTGGCATATTCCTGTAATTTTGGAAAGCTTTCTGGTTTTAAGCTTTCTTGTTACTTTAGGCTATTTATGAAAAACTAGAACTTTAGCTTACTAAAAGTAACTTAAAGTATACCTGAAAAAATACATCAGCTTTTCTCAAAGTGAGGATCTTTGTCAGAGGAATGAGCAAAACCTTGAATTTTAAAGACAGAAACCCCTTTCAGGGGTCGTTCAAATTGCCCCCTCTCCCGCCCAGCCAGTGGCAGCAAGGCCAAAAGCAAAAACATGCACTGTGATATTTTGGAGGCAGAAAAAGAGCATTTCTGGTCAAGTCATGTAGACCTTTAGTGCTTCAGAGTAAGCATTGCTACCAGTTTAGTGGCAGAAAGGCAGAACTGTGCTGTTCCCAAATGTAGTTGATGTGTCTGTCCCACTGTAGGCTGTTGAACTTCCTTCTCCCTTCCCCTTCTAGATCTATTTGATCTTCCAGTTAGATCTAGCTAATGTCTTCTGACTTCAAGATGGTCACTTTCGGTTTTCTGTTATCTTACTGTATTCCCATGAGTTTGGCTCAGTGTCATGATAGATGAAGACAGGACAGAAGGTTCCAATTTAACTGAAAATATCAGGAAATAAAACGTGTGAATAACCAAACTTAAGATCCTGATCTCAGTCCTGATTTGAGTATTTCATCAGTTTGGTTCAAGGAAGCTGCTGCTTCAGGGGAAAGAAAGGGGAGAACAGTGACAGGGGGAAGTCAGCTACAATTCTGCTGGCTTTTCCCACCTCCAGAAGATTTTACAGAAAGGTATGGTATATTCATTGAACTAATACAGGATTTAGTGGAGTTGGTAGTTTTAGGATCTACCCTAATCTGAAATCGTCAGTTTAAAAAGCAGGTCTTATGTGTTTCTGTTTATTCCACAGCTTAAAAAGCATGAACAGATCCTGCTCTTCCTTTTAAACAAGTATGGGAATCCAGATGGATTCAACGAAATGAAACAACTGTTGGAGCACTAAGTCTCTGACCTGCCATTCACTTGTACGTGCACCAGGTTGCTGCAGTTCCTATTTTGGAAGAGCCAAGTGTATTCATCAGCTTGAAAATGAGTCGCTTTGTAGGAATTGTGCTGTTTAAGTACTTGTATTTATCTGTATGCTTGGATTGTTGTGAAATATGTAGCTTGAAGGCTTTCAAAGCAGCAAGCTAAAATTTCTGTTCTGTTTTTGTTTTATACCACCACATGCTGCTGGGTTTGCTTTTACTTTGCTGTTGAATGCACTGTGGAATGGCCATTGCATTGGGAGCCTAGTCTGCAAAGTGACATTTGAAATGACTGTACTCATAAAGCTTACTTCAATTTTGATACCATTCATCTCACTTGAAAAAAATGCATCTTGATTTAGTCGTCTTCCAATTTGATTTCCAGTCTGAGGTTAGATTGAAAATTGTTTTACATCAAGTGGGTTTCAGTATCATTAAAGGCTTAATCTTGTCTTGGACTGCCTGCAGGTAGTTCTGTCTGAAATCACTAAACATGTAAATGCACACAGTTCTTTATTTACATTTATGCTATGTAATCTGCATCTGTGAATACTGTTTTGGAGTAAATAGTATTGGAGCTGTTTTGGCTGTAACTACCTTGTCAGCATTTCTACACCATCAAGTTCTTTCATATCATAATGGAAAAATCTCATTCTGGGCTGTGACAAAAATACTGAATCAGATTATCAATGGCATTTCAGTACGTCTTTAAAATGGAGCAGATAAATTGGCATTTCTGGCTAATCCAGGAGCAGGGGTGCCAAGGATGCCAAATTACTGTGCACAGACACGGTAGACGCATGCTTATTGAAACTGCAGAGTCAGCTTTTTTTTGTCCACTTGAAGTACATGTTTTAAGTTGGGGCTCTGTGCAAATTGGAAGTATTTTGAGATTAAACTTGTGAAAGTGAAACGTCTTATGTTTGTCTTAATGTTTTATTACACTAAATTGCCTCAGATTGATTGTTTTCCTGCCTCTTAATTTCTGTTGCATCATGGAATCATAGAATAGTTAGGGTTGGAAAGGACCTAGAATCATATTCTAATGATTATTTTAATGATGATTATTCTAATGAAAAACACTTGGGGCTTGAGCTCTTTGTGCCCCTGGTTCTGAGCCAAGATCGTGGCTGCCTCGAGTATCCTTTTGATGTCCTGGGGTAAGTGTGACTTTCACAAGCATTTGCCCACATGGAAAGCGACTCCCTGATGCTTATGCTTTAGCCTTTCCCATGGCTCCCCTTCACTCTTCCACATGCTCTTCTAGCAAATAGGCACTGCATTTCAGAAGGTGACTTTGACCACAGCAGTCAAAAGCAATCACTTTGTCCACACTTCATAAGCAGGAGAAAGGAAAAGTGAATCTTTGCTGGTTATACTCGGGCAAAAACCCCTGGAAAGCAGTGGTTGGTGTCTCTCACTTGGAGATGTATGTGTGATGCAGCACAAAGGTATCTGGCAGTAATTCTATACAACGAAAGGAAAGGAGAAGTAAGAGTCTCGGTATGGTTCAGAGGCCTAGTTCACTCCTTAATTTCAGAGGAAATATTTGGGAACACTGGTGCAGGGACATGCCAAACAAGAAATGTGGAAACTTCCTGATGTAGCTTTGGCTTCCTCTTGCTTTTCTCTGCTACTTTTAATCTGTAATTGAAATCTGTTTTTGAAGTGATAAATTATCAGCTATAGATTATATTTATCTAAATGCTAGTATAGAATTTAAAGTAAATTTTCATGTGTGATTATGTCTGAAGGAAAGATTTAGGTTAAATATTAGGAAGAAGTTATTTACTGCAACCACAGCTTGTCGTGTATCCTTATTCTTGTTGTGGAGTCTGTATTGCTCAGTTTCAACGGTGAGTATGGCAGGTACCCTATGGCCTGTGGGAGAGAAGGTGGGTAAAGCAGAGTAAGGCAAACTGATGAAGGAATGCGATCTGCTACAGTGGTATAGCTCAATTAGTGGAATAATATTATCACTTAAATTCCACTTTATTTTTAGAAAATGCAGCTATTTGTAAGTCCAAACTTTATTAAGAATATTAGATTCAAAGAATCTTTCACGCATCTTCAGTTGTAAAAGAAGAAAGGAAAAAACCCATCATTTTAAAACAGGTCCCCTAAACTTCTCTGTGTGTAGTAGGTGTGCACAGGTAGAGAGTAGTTTTCTGTGGAAAAACAAATATTAGGGAAAGCATTCTCTAAAAACAATAAAAGAGCTGACTCCTAACTGAAGTTGCTTCACAGCTGTGGGTGTTGCAAAGCAACTTCTGGTCTGCGGTTTTACCTCTCCTGTTACCTGTGCTCTGGGGCACCACCATTCCCAGCTGTGCTTAGTCTGCGGGATGAGTGGATACAGCAGTGTGCATCCTGGAGGTAACCTAGAGCAAGCTGTCTGTTCCCGGCTTTTTTTACCCTAAATCCTAACTGTAGATGGCAGGATGTGCTGGGTGAGGAGGAGAGGCTGGCGCAGCTGAACACGATATAAATCCAAGTGGGAAGGAGGCTGCTCGCAAACCCCTCAGGTGCGCAAGACTTCGCAAGGCAGAACAGGCAGAAAGGTAAAATGCAATTTAAACTGGGTTGTTTCTCCCCCTGTTTCAGTTGGTAGCATCTTAAAGCTCCGCATAGGGACCATGTGGGAAAGCGGAGGTGCTGCGAGTGCGCTCGGTGGTCGGAGCCGGGCTGGCGGCGGGTCCCTGCAGCACCAGGAGCGGGGAGCTGGGCGGGCAGCTCCTTCACCTCCTTCACCTCCTTCTTCTTTTCCTCCCCCCTCGCTGT